GATATTTTTTGATGGTAGGGATACATTGAATTGCTATTTTGTGTAAGGTGTGGGTAAAGTTGGTGTTACATATGTGGTTGTCTTGGTTATGTATGTCGTAGATGTCTGTTTGGTTGCACAGAGTTTTAAAGTTGTTCCAATCTGCTTTTTTAAAGTTAAATTTAGGTTGTTGGGAGGGGTGGTCTGAAGGGGGGTGGGGTGGGGATGGTGTAGAATTTATGCTGGGAGTGGTTATGGTTGTGGAGATTTTAATGGGCAGGTGATCGCTGCCCCAGGTATCTGTATGGACCTCCCAACTGAGTTTAGATTGGAGGTGTGGTGTGCTGATAGATAGGTCAATAGAAGTGGGAGATTGGAGGGGGTTGAGAGGGATTCTGGTTGAGTTTAGACTGGAGGTGTGGTGTGCTGATAGATAGGTCAATAGAAGTGGGAGATTGGAGGTGTGGTGTGCTGATAGATAGGTCAATAGAAGTGGGAGATTGGAGGGGGTTGAGAGGGATTCTGGTTGGTTGATTGTTATTAAGACAAATAAGGTCATTGGTGTCAATCCAGTTATGCGATAAACTGTGACATTATAAAGTGGTACATAGGTAGTTATAACACTACACTTGGGGAAGCGATCACCTTCCTATACTCACCTACATAGGTAGCCCACCACAATTAGAGGAACAGCCCAATACTCAGCCCACATGGGACTATGCAAAGGCTGACTGGCCTAAATTCAGGAAGGAATGTATATCATTCAAGTCCTTAGAAATTGCCTCGCATGATCCTGATCTTTTTTGCCAAAATCTCTCCTAAGCAATTATTGCCGAAGCTGAAAAATCAATTCAAAAAAAAGACCACAAAACTGGCAAAACGCCGGTACCATGGTGGAACAGGGAAATAGCAAAAGCTAGGAGAGTGAGAAAGAAAGCCCTAAATAGGTCAAAAAGGGATAAATCAGCCTTTGCCCAAGTCCGAGCAGCCAGGACGAAAGTAAGACAACTCATAGACGATTCTAAAAAAGAGTCATGGCAGACCTTGAGGCAAATCCCTTAATGAGAAAACAAAGGCTAAAACAGTCTGGAGCAAAATACACGCAATCAGGGGTAAACGTAAACCCACAAAAATTCCCAAGTTAGCCAATACCCATACAGTCAAAGAAAAGGCCAACATTCTAGCTGAGCACTTCTCATCTGTCAGCAGCAACACAAATTGCAGCGAAGAATTCAAACAGGAAAAAATGCTTATGCCTAAGATCTCAAAACGGCCGCAAAGCAAGCATCTGGTATACAATATACAATTTACTGTGACAGAGTTTGATGATGCGATACAACATAGAAAAGGCACAGCACCTGGTTTTGACACAACCAGCTACGAGATATTGAAAAACCTACCTGATCAAACCAAAGGCTTACTCACTGAGTTGTATAACACGATATGGTCCAAAGGAGAAGTTCCAAAAGTATGGAAACATGCTGCGGTTATCCCGCTGCTAAAGCAAGGGAAAAACGAAGGCCTACCAAACTCTTATCGACCGATCTCACTCACCTCAAACATATGCAAAGCCATTGAAGCCATGGTTACAAAAAGGCTCATGCATCATCCTGAAACTGGCAACCACATAAAACCTGACCAAAGTGGCTTCAGGAAGGGACACTCGTGTCTAGATCATATTCTAAGACTGGAAAATGAAATAAAAAAAGCCCAATTAAACAGACAATACCTAGCCGCAGTATTTCTGGACTTCAGCAAAGCCTTCGACATGGTATGGCATGACGCACTCCTCTCAAAACTATCACAAAATGGAGTTGAAGGGAACATGGCAAACTTCATAGACAGCCTCCTGCAAGACAGGTCGCTATCAGTTAAAACAGGGAACAATCGATCGGATCCTATGGCACTGGACAATGGCACGCCACAAGGCAGCATTATAAGCCCAACCCTGTTTAATATCATGATAAATGATCTTTTTGACCATGTCAACTCTCCTACCCAAACTTCTAAGTTCGCTGATGACGGAGCAATATGGGTGAAGCACAGGGATATCTCACAAATCAGAAAAAAACTCCAGTCAGCCCTGGACGGAGTAGATCAATGGTGCAATAAATGGGGATTCACCCTTTCAAGTGAAAAAACTGTTGGAGTTCTATTCAAACGCCGGGGGAAAGATGCTATGATACCCCGTGTCTCCATAAAAGGCAAACCTATCAAATTCGAAAAATCTGCAATATTTCTTGGGGTTATCCTTGATCAACACCTCACTTGGCGCAAGCATATAGAATATGTGGAAAACAGATGTCAAAAAGACCTGAAGGTATTACGAGCAAAATTTCAGTCACATCTTGGGGCACATCGAGGGACACTCAGCTGGACCTCTACAAAGCTCTTATCAGATCAACAATTGACTATGGTTGTGAGGCTTTTCACTCAGCATCAAATACTGTCTTGAGGCGCCTAGACAGAATACAATACAAAGCCCTAATGCTGGCCACAGGCGCAGCGACAGGCACCTCACTAGAAGCACTACAAGTAGAAACGGGAGAACTCCCATTGAAACTAAGAAGAGAGCAGGCAATATTATCGTTCTGGGGACGAACATCAAACCCTTTGGTTAAAAAGATATGGCAAGACAAAAACGCTCGAGATGAAGCCCTAGCTCGAAAAAATCCCTCACTAAAGCCATCTGGGATATTAGTACGTGAACTCATTCGAAGTCACAATTGCGATGACATTCAGCCTCCAGAAAGTCACTACAAAGGGTTACACCCTCCCTGGACTTTACAAACTCCCAAAGTTGACACTGCTTTAACATCAGAAGTCACTGAAAGAGAAAACCCAACCCTACTACGATCAGTAGCTATCACTAAAATTCAAACTACCCGGGACAGCTGGGCCCATATATACACTGATGGATCCAAGAATCCTATCAACAACAGTGCTGGTTACGGGATCCATATCCACAGCTCCAAACCCCAAGCACATTCAGTTCGCTTGCCTGATGGTCAGTCAGTATTCACGGCTGAATTGGAGGCAATTCATCATGCACTCAAACTCATACCGTAACTCCCGGAAGCAAAGGCAGTCGTCCTATCAGACTCGCTAAGTGCTCTTCAGGCAATCAGTGGGAGAAACTCAAACTCCAGGCCAAACACAGTCAACAATATTCTATACGAATATACAAAACTATCAGAACAAGGGCAACAGGTGGAGCTGTGTTGGATCCCCTCTCACATAGATATTCATGGAAATGGAAAAGCAGACTCACTGGCGAAGCTAGCTCTAGACAAAGCGGATATACATGCTATTCCCTTTAGTAAACTAGAGATAAAAAGCAAAATCAAAGCCTCCATAGCAAAAAGATGGCCAGCCCAATGGGACGCAAGTAAGATCAGCAGATGGCTATACAAAATTCAACCCAAGGTCAAACAAAAGCCAAACTCATACTCAAATGAAAGGAAAATTGAAACTGCTATCTCACGCCTCAGACTTGGTCACAAAAAGCACTCTGACAAGGTTTGTTCATCTTGCAATCAGGCTGAAACCATTAACCACGTGTTACTAGAATGTCAAGACCATGCCCCAGCCCGGGCTAGGTTAAAACAAGAATTGCAGTTAGATCCACTAGCTGTCATAGATCTCCTAAAGCCAAGAGATGCAATAGCGAAGGCCAAACTAACTCTATTTCTGAGAGATGGACAGCTGCTCGAACGTATATAAACAGAGCAGCCAAGGATAAAAATGAAATCATATCAATGCAAAAACAGAAATTATGTGAACACCGAACTCACAATAGATATGTGAACCCTTCTCACACACAGGAGTCCCAAAGAGGGACAGGTCAGCCGAAATTGCTAAGGCAGAAGGCGACCTCTTAAACCCCTAATGCAACAACAACAGCATTATAACATTAATCTATAGATGTAAACACATTTGAAGATACATCTGTGTGTTTAAAGTTGATTTTGACCTCCCGGGCCAAGCCGGACCCAACACAAGACAAACTCTTCTGATAGAGACTATGTTGAGAATGTACAGGGAAAAGGGCTTCACTTTGAGACCCTTGTTTTCTTTAAATACGATGTACCGTGACATTATAAAGTGGTATATAGGTAGATATAACACTAATCTATAGATGTAAACACATTTGATGATACATCTGTGAGGTTTAAGTTGATTTTGAGAGCCCGGGCCAAGTCGGACCCAACACTTCTGACAGAAATTTTCTTAAGAAAATACAGTGAAAATGCTTGACTTTGAGCACCTTGTTTTCTTTAAATACGATGTACCGTGACATTATAAAGTGGTATGTAGGTAGATATAACACTAATCTATAGATGTAAACACATTTGAAGATACATCTGTGTGTTTAAAGTTGATTTTGACCGCCCGGGCCAAGTCGGACCCAACACAAGCAAAGCACTTCTGATGTAGAGGGAAAAGGGCTTCACTTTTGAGCACCGTGTTTTCTACTGCAATATGAGACACTAAAGTGTTATATAGGTAGATATGATATTATAATTAGCCTATAGATGTAAAGTATGTGTTGTATTTTTAGAAGCGCTTTGACAGTTATTAACACGTGTCGTGTCAGTCCTATGACATTCGCGAATATCCACTTGCAGAAAACATCCTGTGTTGGTTTAACATGAATTAGTAAAGGTTAATTAGGTATGCCAAACATGTTAATTAATGAAAGAAGAGTAGTCAAAACACTGTCATTTCGTATTCCTGCCCAGGACATCACACCCCTGCACGTTAAGGTCGGTGAGAAACCTTCTCATCAAAGTAAAGACACAGTCAAGACACTGACTTTTCGGTATGAACTCTCGGTATGTAGCTATAATTATCAGTTCATTACATTGCTGAAGATACATTTTGATTCAAACTCAATTAAATGAGCAAACCTATCCGTTTCTGGACATTTGAGATCTGCCTAGATATGCACGTTTCGTTTTATTATTCTGCAATCCATTTTTAGTATTACCCGCTGGCCCGGCCCGGCCCGACTTTTCTTGGCCCGACTTTTAGGCAGTCCCTTATCTAGTACGACTTTTTTGCCATATTGAGCCCTTAGTATTCTCATTTACATTATTATAACCAAATGCCAAGTGTAAAAAGAATGTGATCTATTATTTGAGTATGTGCATCTGCCAATGTTGTTGGCAGTTTTGGTACTATTGTAGTAGGTGTTAATTCTGCAGCTTGTAAATATGTTAGTATTTTTAGTGTAGATAAAGTAACTTGTCTTTTCTATTTCAGCTTGTTGATTCAACAGAGGGTTGTGTCATTTCCTGGTTTCTATCTATCATTAGTTGTGTCCTTATCAGTATCTGCTACTGATAACTTTGTACTGGGTCAAAGGTCAATGGTCCAGTCTATTTTACTTCCAAGGGTGTTTTGTTCTATTGTTTGCTCGTCATTAGGGTTACCTGTTGTGAGCCAATTAGTATACCTTTCAATTCAAATCCCTTTCTCACCTGCCATTGCTAATCTTATGCTGCACACACCCACCTGCACTGCACAGCAATGGATTGAGGATCAAGTTATCAAGGTTAGTAATCATAATTAATCTGTATCAATCTAAACATTATAATTTCAATCATTAGTATAAATCAAGTAATAAATGATAAAATGTGTTTTAAATAACTTGTAAACATAAACAAACGATAGGTTGAGTGAATGAGGTGAGTGTGATGAGATTAGGGTCTGATTCATGAGTATTGCTTATCTATACATATATTTTATATTTCAATGCATTGGTTATTTGGTATTTTGTGTATTATGGTATTTGATGCATATTTGCTATTATTTAGTAAATCTGGTGTATTTCTAGACTTTGTACATATCTCTCTAGATGTATGCATGTATATGCCGTGATTATATATGTTATTTACAATATTATAATTAATATTGTATCTGTATTTAGTTTCATGTGACTGTCGAATGAGACGACTGGCAGAAGGCATGTTACACTCTCGTGTCACACACAGGGTATGTTTTGTATATAGTTTATCTATATAATATGTTCATGTTGTGCATTCATTATGCATAATATGATTATGTGATGATTTAATGATTTCCTCAGTTATGCGTTTAATAATGTGTAATTATATTGTCTTTGTATATGAAGGTACATCTGCACTGATAAGTTATCGAGGCAGAAATATATTTGTGTATCTGCTGTAACGATGTAATGAGTTATGAAGAAGCAGATTGATACTTTACATTTAATGTGTACATTTATTCTGAAACACGTGATATATTGTGATTTTAAATTGTTTCAGGAGTGTCTTCTATATGCCTTGCTGAATAAACTGAATTTTCTCACAACCCCGTGGACTGTAATCTCTTGCGACTAAGGATTACACATAAGGTCTACAACACTATTTCCACATGTTTACATTTGTGCCAGAAATTGCTTCCATTTCCTTCGATCTACTTTTTAAATAAAGACCCATGTTAGAATAGGTCTTCAGCAACCCATGCTTGCCTTAAGAGGCGACGAACAGGATTGGGTAGTCAGGCTCGCCGATTTGGTCGATGCATAACATATTCCAATTGCGCAGTTCGATGCTCTTGGTGTCAATCACTGGATTATCTTGCCCAGGCTCACGCCGTCATATGGCTGGAATACTGCTGAGTGCGGCGTTAAACAAATGCGCAAATGTATCAACTGTATTGCCCAATACTCAAAATATATCATATTTTTTTCGACAAAAGCGTTGTGTTATTTGTGGTTAATATAATTATGCTCCTTCATGCCTTTCAGTAACATCATAATTATGCGTTTGTGAGGCATCACATATGGCGAGGAACTTTGATGTTTTCTTGTTTTTATAGCAGTTAGATAAACCTTTGACGAGAAAAAACAAATAAGGTAATATAAATTACGCCGCTTTTAACAGTATTCCAGTTATATCACGGCGTGTCAGCTTAATGTGGGAGGAAAGCCCGAAGTGATGCAGGTCTCAGACGTTTACCACTTCGGTGAAACCCACGAGCACGGGTATGGTGCTGACAAACCTAGAAACATAATCGGGGTGAACCGGGATTCGAACCCACAGCGAGTCGCGGCGCCTTAGACGACTGGGCCACCCGTCCCCCCGAGAACCATAGAAACAAAGAGAAGTTTGTTTCGATTCGTATGTCACCAATGTTCAAGGCAATGTTGCACGAGAGACACGAGGTGATGAATATAGGCCGGAAGTCATTGCCTTAGCTCGCAAATGTTGCCTTTACATTACTAATTGGTCTATGAGCTGCTGATTCCTGGTCGTGATGGATCGGGGGTCCTGACTTCATTCATAGCGTTCTTCAAAATATCAATCAGAGGATTGTCGTCGTCGTCGAACATCTGGAACATTGCTGAGTGCGGCGTTACAAACACTCGTTGGTCTGTATGCTAAATGAATACATGTATGAAATGTACTTGCAAGCTCAGACGTTCATACAGTTTGGCCCTCGCTCTAAGAAGGTTCATACTCCAATGAGTGAGTGAGTGAGGTTTTACCCCGCTTTTAGCAATATTCCATCAATATCACGGCGAGTGACACCAGAAATGGGCTTCACACATTGTACCCATGTCGGGAATAGAACCCGGGTCTTCAGCGTGACGAGCGAACGCTTTAACCTCTAGGCTACCCGACCGCCCCACACTCCAATGAACTCTAACAAAGTGGAAGTAAGTTCTCATCATGTTCTGTATCACCATTGAGAGCTGGATATTTACACAATGTTATCTAAAGCGGTGCGTGAGACTTCATGTTTACACTGACATTTATACAACAACCAGCAGTACCGCGGATAAAATAGTTCCTCAAAACGAGAGCTGACATGAGCGTATGGATGCTCAGCTTGGTCTACAGGATCATCTGTTGTAGTTTATTTACAACAAATGTATTCAAATGTATCATCATTGGATGAGAAGGTCGGTTAAGAACTACCTCAGTAAGTCTGCAACAATGACATCGCGTCCTAATACATTTACACCAAGTACAAGACGTCAACATGGCCGGTTACGTCTTAGTCATCATTGATCAATTGGCCGATCATTGAAAGGTGGTTGTGAAGATGTGCCAAATAGATACTAAGATAAATTTATAGGTTACTGAAGACTGTCACTGTCAGCCTCGACCCGGATCGAGTCGATACTACGATTGTATTGATGTGCATTTCTTCATTGTGTTCACGAAGATGGGTCGCAGCGGGGATATTAGTGAACGGGCATGCAGTCAAAGTCTTTGACGTTTCTCAGTGTATGCTAAATCAATGAGTTCAAGATTAAAGGGTCTAAATGATCAGAAAACGCGTCTCTATATATTCGTGCAAGGGAATTCCTAGGGGTTCCCCAAGGAATGTGTAAGAAGTACTTCAGTGTTTACGTTATTTCAAGAATATAGTCTCGAGAAAAATGTATGAACGTCAAATTGTCCAATTTCGTCCAATGGAAAGCCGTATTCCGGGTAAACTTCACATTAAAAATTATCAGAAAATACAGATCAGTGGTCGTGGTCAGAGAAATGTTTGGCCCTATTGTCGGAGATTTTCAAGATGTCTTAGCCAAGTCAATTATATCTTTACGTCAACAATCTCACACTTTCCCCTTCCATAACATGCGCACTATAACTGGTAATCTAACAAGTTAGTCACGTTTTTCTTTCGGTCTGTGAACAATAATTCTAAAACAGTAGCCGCACGACTTCCATATAAGGAAAATACACACATGGAGGATGAACACGACAAGCCCGATGACGTCCAGACACAAATATTGATACAACGGCATGTCCTGACAATACGACCTCAGATGGGCGGCACCATATTTGAGCACGTGTTCTATCCAGTAAACACCTTCATCTTTGGGACTTCTTTCCCGGAGCTTCGTGATTTCCGCAGCTTTCTTGATTTTCTGTGAGTAGGAAGAATTCTGAATGACCTCATTGATGTTGGACACCAAGTCATCAACAGTAAACGTTTTCAAATCCATCGCAATACCGAATCCAAAGTAACCTAACTTCTTGGCATTATAGGGCTGCTCAGCAAACATGGGAAAACCAATCATGGGAACCCCGTTCAAGAAAGCCTCGTTTTGACCATTAGCTCCACAGTGGGTTATAAACAATTTAGTGTTCGGGTGGGCGAGTAGATCCGACTGCGGCATCCAGTCAACTAACATGATATTAGGAGCGGTTTTGATTTTTGTAGTTGTTTTAAAAATATAGTTATACTTTGTTCGAGCAAATGCATCCAATAGGAGTTGAAATATTTTGTCTGGTAAAAGTTTAACTTTGCTTCCGAATGATACTATGACCGTCGTTTCACCCCCTTTTTCCATGAACTTGAGGTACGGCTCAGGTAAAGGTTTGGGCTCGGTTTCTGATGTCGAACCAACAAACTTCACGCTCGGCAGCGTAGCTTTCGGGTATTCAAAAAGAGGCTCTTGTGCAATTAACCACAGCCAGCCTTTAGCTGTGAGTGCTTCCATGGTGATATAAGGCTTCTCGGGTGCGTATGTAGCCACAGCGTGGGGGTACGAGAAGGGGTCACTGATAAAATACACAGCATGTACAACGGAATTTAACACACGATACCCGAAGTTCATAACCGTTGTCGCAGGTAAACCACGACTGGGGTCACTCGCTAGTGCCAACGGTGTACGGCTAGCCTGGGCGTCAAAGAAGGCACCAAAGAAAATAAACGGTACTTCAAGCTTATAGGCGATAATGGTCAGCATTCTTGGTAACGGTGTAGAATCAAATACTATCAAATCCAAATTTAGTTTCCCAATCGCACGAAACAGGTTCATGTCACGTAATATCATGTCACATATTTTCTTAAACTCTTCAAAAAGGACAGGAGCTCTGCCTTGCTCAAAGAATCCAGTAATAGTCTTGTCAAATATGTCCGCCTCAATGTCATAACCATCCACTGATTTGTATTGGAGGATATTGACGCCCGATTCTTGAAGGCCTTCATGATTGGCTAGGTATGACGGAAGAGCATTCCAGACCACGTGACCTCGTGCAGCCAGCTCCGCAGCCACCGGCAGAGAGCCCCGGATGTGACTGTACTCGGGGAAGAAGAGGAAGAGGATGGTAGCAGCGTCCAGCGTCGCAGCAGTCATCATCAACAGCAGAGGAGTGGCTGTAGACCGTAGTCGAAGCATCATGCCTCGTCAGTTACCTGTTTCAAACAGAAACACAGGTCAGTGAATGCATTGTACAGCTGATTTTACAACTGGTGTACAGCGGCCAATAAAAGATCGAGTCTGGCCCCGACAAACCAGGGGTTGATGGCATGAGATGCGATCGACAAAATAACAATTAGTCGTGTGCTTGAACCTCATCATCGTCATCTGTAACAGCTTTTGCGAGTTGTGGGAACTTATTTTTGGCCCCGGTATCCCTATGTATGTGTGTGGCTGCTTATACTTGCCCGGGTTAATACCGGTTTCCTAACGCAAACCCCCTGAGATAACAAGTTTAACGTGAATACCCCACTCAGACACAGTATACTGACTCCAAGCCGACCAGTCCAACATGAATACCCCACTCAGACACAGTATACTGACTCCAAGCCGACCAGTCCAACATGAATACCCCACTCAGACACAGCATACTGACTCTGAGCCAACCACTCCAACATGAATACCCCACTTTGACACAGTAAACTGACTCCAAGCCGACCAGTCCAACATGAACACCCCACTCAGACACAGTATACTGACTCTGAGCCGACCAGTCCAACATGAATACTCCACTCAGACACAGTATACTGACTCTAAGCCGACCAGTCCAACATGAACACCCCACCAAGACACAGTATACTGACTCCAAGCCGACCAGTCCAACATGAATACCCCACCCAGACACAGTATACTGACTCCAAGCCGACCAGTCCAACATGAATACCCCATTCAGACACAGTATACTTACTCCAAGCCGACCAGTCCAACATGAATACTCCACTCAGACAAACTATACTGACTCCAAGCCGACCAGTCCAACATGAATATCCCATTCTGACACAGTATACTGACTCCAAGCCGACCAGTCCAACATGAATACTCCACTCAGACACAGTATACTGACTCCAAGCCGACCAGTCCAACATGAATACTCCACTCAGACACAGTATACTGACTCCAAGCCGACCAGTCCAACATGAATACCCCACTCAGACACAGTATACTGACTCCAAGCCGACCAGTCCAACATGAATACCCCACTCAGACACAGTATACTGACTCCAAGCCAACCAGTCCAACATGAATACCCCACCCAGACACAGTATACTGACTCCAAGCCGACCAGTCCAGCATGAATACCCCATTTAGACACAGTATACTCACTCCGAACTGACCAGTTCAACATGAATACTCCACTCAGACACAGTATACTGACTCCAAGCCGACCAGACCAACATGAATACTCCACTCAGACACAGTATACTGACTCCAAGCCGACCAGTCCAACATGAATACCCCACTCAGACACAGTATACTGACTCCAAGCCGACCAGTCCAACATGAATACCCCACTCAGACACAGTATACTGACTCCAAGCCGACCAGTCCAACATGAACACCCCACTCAGACACAGTATACTGACTCCAAGCCGACCAGTCCAACATGAATACCCTACCCAAACACAGTATACTGACTCCAAGCCGACCAGTCCAACACGAATACCCCTCTCAGACACAGTATACTGACTCCGAACTGACCAGTTCAACATGAATACTCCACTCAGACACAGTATACTGACTCCAAGCCGACCAGACCAACATGAATACTCCACTCAGACACAGTATACTGACTCCAAGCCGACCAGTCCAACATGAATACCCCACTCAAACACAGTATACTGACTCCAAGCCGACCAGTCCAACATGAATACTCCATTCAGACACAGTATACTTACTCCAAGCCGACCAGTCCAACATGAATACCCCACTCAGACACAGTATACTGACTCCAAGCCGACCAGTCCAACATGAATACCCCACTCAGACACAGTATACTGACTCCAAGCCGACCAGTCCAACATGAACACCCCACCCAGACACAGTATACTGATTCCAAGCCGACCAGTCCAACATGAATACCCCACTCAGACACAGTATACTGACTCCAAGCCGACCAGTCCAACATGAATACTCCACTCAGACACAGTATACTGACTCCAAGCCGACCAGTCCAACATGAATACCCCACTCAGACACAGTATACTGACTCCAAGCCGACCAGTCCAGCATGAATACCCCACTCAGACACAGTATACTGACTCCGAGCTGACCAGTCCAACATGAATACCCCACTCAGACACAGTATACTGACTCCAAGCCGACCAGTCCAACATGAATACCCCACTCAGACACAGTATACTGACTCCAAGCCGACCAGTCCAACATGAATACCCCACCCAGACACAGTATACTGACTCCAAGCCGACCAGTCCAACATGAATACTCCACTCAGACACAGTATACTGACTCCAAGCCGACCAGTCCAACATGAATACCCCACTCAGACACAGTATACTGACTCCAAGCCGACCAGTCCAACATGAATACCCCACCCAGACACAGTATACTGACTCCAAGCCGACCAGTCCAACATGAATACTCCACTCAGACACAGTATACTGACTCCAAGCCGACCAGTCCAACATGAATACCCCACCCAGACACAGTATACTGACTCCAAGCCGACCAGTCCAACATGAATACTCCACTCAGACACAGTATACTGACTCCAAGCCGACCAGTCCAACATGAATACCCCACTCAGACACAGTATACTGACTCCAAGCCGACCAGTCCAGCATGAATACCCCACTCAGACACAGTATACTGACTCCGAGCTGACCAGTCCAGCATGAATACCCCACTCAGACACAGTATACTGACTCCGAGCTGACCAGTTCTTGTTTTAGCCCCTAAATCCCGAGCGCCAGGCAGATTAACAAGTACCATCACTCACTCACCCACTCACTCACTCTCTCACTCACTCACTCACTCACGCACGCACGCACTCACTCACTCACTCTTGCCGCTTTAAGGCCCAACTGAGCATACATGAACATGTAATAGCTGTTGAATGCTTCGTCATTTTTTTTATAAAATATAACGTTACTATCGAAATCTGTGGGAAAACATTTGGTAGTGTGTTACTTGTACCACTGTGGGTGAGTGAGTATGGTTTAACGCCGAATTTAGCAATTTTCCAGTGGGAGACACCAGAAATGGGCTTCACACATTGTACCCATGTCGGGAATCGAACCAGGGTTTTCGGTGTGACGAGCGAACGCTTTAACCACTAGGCTACCCGACCGCCCTGTACCACTGTGAACAACATTGGTATGTTAAGATATGGTTTGGGGGTTTAAGTGCGACTTGGACCCTTCGATGTACATTTGCGCCCAACACATCAAATGTCTTTAAGCAAGAGTGAGTGAGTGAGTGAGTGAGTATGGTTTTACGCCGCTTTTAGCAATATTCCAGCAATATCACGGCGGGGGACACCAGAAATGGGCTTCACACATTGTACCCATGTCGGGAATCGAACCCGGGTCTTCGGCGTGACGAGCGAACGCTTTAACCACTAGGCTACCCGACCGCCCCCTTTAAGCAAGAGCAACGTGAGTAATGGAAAGGAGATGAGGAACCAACCTGTTTCATGGTCTAGTTTATATATTAAGTGAGTGAGTGAGTGAGTTAATGCTTTACGTCACATCGGCAATATTTCAGCCATATCGTGACGATTATATATTAAGACAGCAGGCAAACAATATTTCATTTCTGAAAAGTAAGAGTGAGTGAGTGAGTTTGTTTTTACGCCGCTTTTAGCAATATTTTTAGCAATATCACGGTGGGGGACACCAGAAATAGGCTTCACACATTGTACCCATGTCGGAATTCGAACCCGGGTCTTCGGCGTGACGAGCGAACGCTTTAACCTCTAGGCTACCCGACCGCCCCCTGAACACAAAGAACTCATTCCATAAAAAAACCCAGATCAGACCAAAGAGGAAAATGGTTTCAAAGTCAATACACAAATGTATGTATATATTTAATTTCTACAATATATCAAATTTTCCTCATGCAGTAACGTAGTCTAATATTGCCAGCTGAGAACATTGACCTTGTGCAAAGAGTTATCTCACCTAAAGCCGTGAAGCGAAGTCCTTGACCGGTATTTCTTGTATCTGACGCATGCAACAGCGGAGTCATTCGTGACCAACTCGTGTTATTCCGGGTCAAGCCGAATAGTGACTCGTGCCCCTCTCGTGGCCATTTCTGCGACCGGGTTCCGTCTTAGCGCAAACGGGCATACCTAAAACATATGTCAACTCGTTGCGTAATGTTTCACATATATGTCCCCGTATATTATATGTATTTCAGATGCAATTAAAAGCACATCAGGACATGCGGATTTATACAATATGATTGACCACATTTAACTATGTCTTGGGTATATTTTTAGATGCAAGACATATGTAAAATCATAAATTGTTTCTGAGGGATTCTTTGACGAAGAACTTGAAATCATACGCGCATTCTGATTGGTTTGTCGTATTTTCGCACATAACATTCATCGATAGGGGGACGAGTCTTCTTGCAGGTTACGGAAAGGGGCGAGTGGTGACGAATGCAGCGGAGTATGTCAGGAGAGGGATCAGTTTAAACACGTACTGACCGGAGTCCAAAAGAGATATTGCAGCCTTTGAATGTCGAGATGGGGTCGAGAATGTCGAGATATGCGGTCAGTGATGTCCTAATAGACTGAAGTTTCTGGAGGCGCTGGAGCTACTGTGACAAGCTGTACACTTCGTTCTGATACCACTTTGTGAACTTTAACCCTTAACCTGCTTGTCGAGTCTTGTTATCTTGAGAATGACCTGTATTCATACACGATCACTATTGCTACACCCCCAGTCATGCAGTCCGTGCGGGTCACACATGTTGCAGTCTGATAGGAAGACCATGTGGGGTCACAGGTCAGAATCGTCTCCTGGCATCGCGTGCTGGTCGTAGAAGCTGGGGATCGGGTGGTCACCCTCTGTCTGTGTGTGCGTGTGCGCCTGTGTGTGTGCGTGCGTGTGCCTGTGTGTGTGCGTGCGTGTGTGCCTGTGTGTGCGTGCCCGTGTGTGTGTGTGTGTGTGTGTGTGTGTGTGTGTGTGTGTGTGTGTGTGTGTGTGTGTGTGTGTGTGTGTGCCCGTGTGTGTGCCTGTGTGTGTGTGTGTGTGTGCGTGCGTGTCTGTCAGTCTGTTGGTGTATGTGCGTCTGTATTGGTGTGTGTGTGTAAATGTTTCTGTGTGCGTGTGTGTGCATGTATGTGTGGTGTGTGTGCATGTGGGGTGTGTTTGTGTATGTGTTCTGTGTGTGTCTTTGTGTTTGTGTCTATGTTTGTGTGCATCTGTGTCTACGCGTGTCTGTGTGTATATGCCTGTGTTTGTGTATGTGTTCTGTGTGTGTTCGTGTGTGTCTATGTGTGTTTGTGTGCATCTGTGTCTACGCGTGTCTGTGTGTGTGTGTGACTGTACATGTGAGTGTGTATATGCCTCTGTTTGTGTATGTGTGACTGTACATGTGAGTGTGTCTGTGTGTATATGCATGTGTGTGTGTGTGAATGTACATGTGAGTGTGTCTGTGTATATGCCTGTGTTTGTGTATGTGTGTCTGTACATGTGAGTGTGTCTGTGTGTATATGCCTGTGTTTGTGTATGTGCGACTGTACATGTGAGTGTGTCTGTATGTATATGCCTGTGTTTGTGTTTGTGTGACTGTACATGTGAGTGTGTCTGTGTGTATATGCCTGTGTTTGTGTATGTGTGACTGTACATGTGAGTGTGTCTGTGTATATGCCTGTGTTTGTGTATGTGTGACTGTACATGTGAGTGTGTCTGTGTATATGCCTGTGTTTGTGTATTTGTGACTGTACATGTGAGTGTGTCTGTGTGTATATGCCTGTGTTTGTGTATGTGTGACTGTAAATGTGAGTGTGTCTGTGTATATGCCTGTGTTTGTGTATGTGTGACTGTATATGTGAGTGTGTCTGTGTATATGCCTGTGTTTGTGTATGTGTGACTGTGCATGTGAGTGTGTCTGTGCGTGTTAGGCTCTGTGCGCGTCTATGTTTGCATGTCTGCGTGCATGTGTGTCTGTTCCTGTATCTGTGTGTGTGAGTGTATATGTTTCTGTGTGCGTATATATGTGTATGTGTGTTGTATATGTGTGTGTGTGTGTGTGTGTATGTTTATTTGTGTCTGTTTGTGTGTGGGTGTATATGTGTGTTTATATGTGTATATGTATGTATCTGTGTGAGTGTGTGTGTCTATGTCTGTGCCTCGTTTGAGAGCGTGGGTATAGGTGCCTGTGTGAGTGTGCGTGTGTCTGTATGAGTATGTGTGCCTGTGTGTGTGTTTTTCTATGTCCGTGTGTGAGAGTGCTTGTGTTTGTCTGTGTGTGATTGTGTTTGTCTGTGTGTGATTGTGTTTGTCTGTGAGAGTGTTTGTTTTTGTATGTGAGTGTGTGTGTGTGTGTGTGTGTGTGTGTGTGTGTGTGTGTGTGTGTGTGTGTGTGTGTGTGTGTTTTTGCATCCTGCAGCGTTAAACAACGTTCATTCACTCACTCACTCACTGGTAAATTAAATATTGTCGATGTACCCAACGGTGCTTCACGTGTCAATGTCAGTGTCATGTGGTTGCAGCCGGTGCATACTCACTCACTCACTTTGCAAATAAAGTGACCCAGAAATAACTGACATAGTTTTCTGACACCGGCGTTAAACCAGCTCAAAAGCCCGTTCACATTCGTCTTTCCAGGATCTATACTGATCTGCATGAAATGAACACTTGAACACAATGACACCGATCTATACAAGGGAAACACGTGATTGACAATGACACCGATCTATATTAGGGTAACACGTGATTGACAATGACACTGATCTGTATGAAATGAACACAGTGATACCGATCTACATTAGGGGAACACGTAATTAACAATGACACTGGCGACTATGTTTTTCGTAAGAGGCGACTGGAGGGATCGGGTGGTCAGGCTCGCTGACTTGGTAGATGCATGTCATTGAATCCAAATTGTATGGATCGATGCTCATGAATTCAATCATTGGATTGTCTGGTCCGGACTCGATTTTTTACAGACGGCTGTCACATAGCTGGAATATTGCTGTGAGCGGCGTTACACAACAAGCAGACAAACAAACAAACAAACAATGACACTGATCTGTATAAGGGGAACACGTGATTGACAAACACAGCGATCTGTATAAGGGGAACACGTGATTGACAAACACAGCGATCTGTATAAGGGGAACACGTGATTGACAAACACAGCAATCTGTATAAGGGGAACACGTGATTGACAAACACAGCGATCTGTATAAGGGGAACCCGTGATTGACAAACACAGCGATCTGTATAAGGGGAACACGTGATTGACAAACACAGCGATCTGTATAAGGGGAACACGTGATTGACAAACACAGCAATCTGTATAAGGGGAACACGTGATTGACAAACACAGCGATCTGTATAAGGGGAACACGTGATTGACAAACACAGCAATCTGTATAAGGGGAACACGTGATTGACAAACACAGCGATCTGTATAATGTGAACACGTGATTGACAAACAGTGATCTGTATAAGGGGAACACGTGATTGACAAACACAGTGATCTGTATAAGGGGAACACGTGATTGACAAACACAGCGATCTGTATAAGGGGAACACGTGATTGACAAACACAGCGATCTGTATAAGGGGAACACGTGATTGACAAACACAGCGATATGTATAAGGGGAACACGTGATTGACAAACACAGCGATCTTTATAAGGGGAACACGTGATTGACGAACACAGCGATCTGTATAAGGGGAACACGTGATTGACAAACACAGCAATCTGTATAAGGGGAACACGCGATTGACAAACACAGCGATCTGTATAAGGGGAACATGTGATTGACAAACACAGCGATCTATATAAGGGGAACACGTGATTGACAAACACAGCGATCTGTATAAGGGGAACACGTGATTGACAAACACAGTGATCTGTATAAGGGGAACACGTGATTGACAAACACAGTGATCTGTATAAGGGGAACACGTGATTGACAAACACAGTGATCTGTATAAGGGGAACACGTGATTGACAAACAGTGATCTGTATAAGGGGAACACGTGATTGACAAACAGCAATCTGTATAAGGGGAACACGCGATTGACAAACACAGTGATCTGTATAAGGGGAACACGTGATTGACAAACAGCGATCTGTATAAGGGGAACACGTGATTGACAAACACAGCGATCTGTATAAGGGGAACACGTGATTGACAAACACAGTGATCTGTATAAGGGGAACACGTGATTGACAAACACAGTGATCTGTATAAGGGAAACATGTGATTGACAAACACAGTGATCTGTATAAGGGGAACACGTGATTGACAAACACAGCGATTTGTATAAGGGGAACACGTGATTGACAAACACAGCGATCTGTATAAGGGGAACACGTGATTGACAAACACAGCGATTTGTATAAGGGGAACACGTGATTGACAAACACAGCGATCTGTATAAGGGGAACACGTGATTGACAAACACAGCGATCTGTATAAGGGGAACACTTGATTGACAAACACAGCTATCTGTATAAGGGGAACACGTGATTGACAAACACAGCGATCTGTATGAGGGGAACATGTGATTGACAAACACAGCGATCTGTATAAGGGGAACATGTGATTGACAAACACAGCGATCTGTATAAGGGGAACATGTGATTGACAAACACAGCGATCTGTATAATGTGAACACGTGATTGACAAACACAGTGATCTGTATAAGGGGAACATGTGATTGACAAACACAGTGATCTGTATGAGGAAAACACGTGATTGACAAACACAGCGATCTGTATCAGGGGAACATGTGATTGACAATGCTAGCGATTAGTAAGGTGAGAAATACTCGATTGACATTGACACCGATCCGATCAAAACATATCATGTCTCTGAGGACACACGCAACAAAGAATGTTAAATGGGGGCTCCCTTACACTAACAAAGCGCAACTCAATGTGCCCAGCTGTCATAGATTAAACCTTCCTATTTCAAACTGATGTCAGAGCAGGGTGTCGTGCGAGGAGAAATAAAACAGGATTGGGTAGTATTTATTCACGTTTGGCTTTTGGCTTCTGAACAGTTCTTCTACAACAGAAGCGGCACGACTTCCAAATAAGGAAAATACACACATGGAAGATGAACACGACAAGCCCGATGACGTCCAGACACAAATATTGATACAACGGCATGTCCTGACAATACGACCTCAGATGGGCGCCGCCATATTTGAGCACGTGTTCTATCCAGTAAACAGCTTCATCTTTGGGACTTCTTTCCCGGAGCTTCGTGATTTCCGCAGCTTTCTTGATTTTCTGTGAGTAGGAAGAATTCTGAATAACCTCATTGATGTTGGATACCAAGTCATCAACAGTAAACGTTTTCAAATCCATCGCGATACCGAATCCAAAGTAACCTAACTTCTTGGCATTATAGGGCTGCTCAGCAAACATGGGGAAACCAATCATGGGAACTCCGTTCAAGAAAGCCTCGTTTTGACCATTGGCCCCACAGTGGGTTATAAACAATTTAGTGTTCGGGTGGGCGAGAAGATCCGACTGCGGCATCCAGTTAGTTAACAAAATCTTAGGTCCCAAATTTACCTTTTCATCCGTTTTGAAGATGTACTTATAGGTGGTTTTAGAAAATGCCTCCAGTAGCTTCTTGGATATTACATCCGGAAGACTTTTCACATTACTTCCGAAGGAAACAATGACCACGCCCTCTTTCGTTCCGTCCATGAACTTCTTGTACGTCTCGGGAAGGGGTTTGGGCGCAGACGCGGACAGAGATCCAATCTCCATGACGTTGGGCAACTTGGCGCTGTTGTAGTTTAGGAATGGTTCCTGATCAATGAGCCACAGCCAGGCTTTAGTTGTCAAAGATTCCATAGAGATGTACGGCTTCTCTGGGGCGTACGTTGCGACGCATCCGTAGAAGGAGAAGGGGTCGTATACGTATACGTGTACCGTCAAAAGGATCACATTTGCAACACGTGTCCAAAAGTCCATGTCTTCTGACCATGGAAAGATTGGATATGGAAGTGCGGAGGGGACAAAAGGAGTCCGGCTGGCATGGGGTTCGAACGCTGCCCCCATGAAGACAAACGGCACGTCCAACTTATATGCCATTATGGCCAGCATCCTTGGCAAAGGGATGATGTCAAATATAATCAAATCGAAATGTAGATCAGATAGAGCTTTAAATAGCTTCTCGTCCTTCAGTATAAGATCACACACTTGCATCCCAACCTCGAATGGTGGAGGTGCGCTGGTTTCATTGAGGTAATCAGAAATGACACGATCGATTAGCTTCTCCTTAATGTTGTAGTCATCTACGGATTCATATTTCAGAATATTGACGCCCGGTAACTGCATGCCCTTGTGATTGGCCAGTTCAGTTGGAAGAGCATTCCATACCACGTGACCACGTGATGCTAGCTCTGTGGCCACGTTCAGAGAGCCCCGGATGTGACTATATAACGGAAAAAATAGGAAGAGGATATTGGCGGCTTCCAGGTTCGATACACAAACAAGAAACAGAAGGACAATTCCGGTTCGTGGTCCCATCTCGGTAACAGTGATATCGACGTTGCCTGCAAGAAATGTAGAAAAGACAGTGAGTGAGTGAGTGAATTCTTTGTTGTCCCTCCTTTGGTCAGTATTTCAATTATACCCAGTGTTTAAAATACCCACCTGCCCGACAATATATTTTCCTGAGGGACGGTCAGATTTGAAAAGTTGCAGGCCCGATGGTCGGGTTATTATTGTATTCCCTAAATTACCTCAGCATTCTAGTTTTAATTCAATGTAAGAGGAAAATTAACTGTAAACGTTAAACACATTATTGATGAATACAATTTCAATGAGTAAAAGTTTCTAAGTTTACAATCCACAAGTTTATTGTTATTTTCTGAGAACTGACATTAAACAGTACAATTCTAATGTTTACAATTTTCTCACTTTTGTTAGTCAAGTCTTATCTGGTCTGGCTTTGCAAAGATGCCAGTCCGGTGGTCTGACTGAAATTTAGGGAATTTTATATACTGTTATATCACGTGTCAGGGGGGCACGGGTGGCCCAGTCGTCTAAGGCGCCGCGATTCGCTGTGCAGAGTCGCGTCCCTTGGGCACGCCAGAAACCTATGATTGTGGGTTCGAATCCCGGTTCGCCCCAATTATGTTTCTAGGTTTGTCAGCACCATACCCGTGCTCGTGGGTTTCACTGAAGTGGTAAACGTCCGAGACCTGCATCACTTCGGTCTTTCCTCCCACATTAAGCTGACACGCCGTGATATAACTGGAATACTGTTAAAAGCGGCGCTAAACCCAACTCACTCACTCACGCGTCAGTTTGTGTGGGAGCTAGCATAGTCGCCTTGTACGGCAAGCATGGGTTGCTGAAGACCTATTCTACCCCGGATCTTCATGGGTCGGTTATGGTTCGCACTTTCATGGCACAAGTTCCGATTCTACCCGAATCGCTGCCTTGGTTCATGCATTTCATCGTATCCCATTGCGTGGATCGATGTTCATGATATCAATCACTGGAACGTCTGGTCCAGACTCGATTATTTACAGACCGCCGTCATATAGCTGGAATATTGCTGAGTGCGGCGTTAAACAACAACCAACCAATCATTCAACTATTTGTTTCAAAGATATATTATTTTATGTCTGCTTCATTTACTTCTGTCAGCGAGGAAGTCACATGATCATATGCAAGGTGAATATGTTGGTTGGTTTGTTGTTTAACGCCGCCCTCAGCAACAGGTTCCGAGTGGTATGTACAGTTATACCCCTAGCTACTTCAATCCCGGTATCTGGCAATACTCCTACAGTTCCTCAAACATCCCACGACGAAGTGATATAACTGTCAATATCCACTATAATTATAACGGCAATGTATGTCACTTTGCTCGTCACGGTGCTCGTTTCATGACTAACTCTCCAGCAATTGTACGTCGGGCGCAGAATGTCACGTGACCTGGTAGCCCAAATGTTTGGTCGTCGTCACATGATGCTGAATCAATTATATTAAATATATTTGCAATATGAATAGTGGTATTTTAGCCGCTGTCTGTTTGCTAATTTAAGCCCTAAAGAGCGGAACCAGTTAGAGTGTGAGAAGTACGACTGATATAAGACGAGTAACGGGTGACAGGTTAGGTAAGCTAGCTCTTAGTCTGGTAAAATAACCAGTAAATGCAATTCTGATCACAATCCTACCTGTCGACCACAGACGCCTGCATCACCTTGCAAATTTCAATGGACCTACCAACAAAGAAGCGGGCTGTCATGTGATACGACTGGCCAAGTAAGGGGTGTTCTCAAAGGTTATTTGATCAATAATTTCACAATTTCTGCTTATGACCAACTTTATGCCTTCGCAAAAAGAAAATCGGTGGATAAAACCTTTGAGGTGGTTATCAGAAGCTCCACCACTCGCGGCCTGAAGTAAACTAAATATAGTCGCTGACATTTGAGACGACCTATGCCCGACATTAAAAAGGGGAAGCTAGTGCAGCAAAAGCCGTATTGCGACACAGCTCGGGGAAGGTTTTAACCTTGATATTTCAGCAAAATCACCGTGTGTCAGCTTGATGTGGGAGGCTAGAGTGAGTGAGTGAGTTTGGTTTTACACCGCTTTTAGCAATATTCCAGCAACATCACGGCGGGGACACCAGAAATGGGCTTCACACATTGTACCCATGTCGGGAATCGAACCCGGGTCTTCGGCGTGACGAGCGAACGCATTAACCACTAGGCTACCCGACCGCCCTATGTGGGAGGCTAGAACCAGGTATCCTGTGTACTAGACGTGTGCACTTTGGTGAAACCTATCGGAATGGTACATGCAGACCAAGAACCATAATTGGTTGAATCTGGGATTCGAACCCGATACAGCATAAACGGACCCCGATACAGCATAAACCCATCTGATACACAATACATATAGGTGCACGGACCCCGATACAGCATAAACACACCTGACACACAATACATATAGGTGCACGGACCCCGATACAGCATAAACACACCTGACACACAATACATATAGGTGCACGGACCCCGATACAGCATAAAAACACCCGACACACAATACATATAGGTGCACGGACCCCGATACAGCATAAACACACCTGACACACAATACATATAGGTGCACGGACCCCGATCCAGCATAAACAAACCTGACACACAATACATATAGGTGCACGGACCCTGATCCAACATAAACCCACCTGACACACAACACATATAGGTGCACGGACCCTGATACAGCATAAACACACCTGACACACAATACATAGAGGTGCACGGACCCCGATACAGCATAAACACACCTGACACACAATACATATAGGTGCATTGACCCCGATACAGCATAATTCCACCTGACACACAACACATATAGGTGCACGGACCCCGATACAGCATAAACCCACCTGACACACATTACACATAGGTGCACGGACCCCGATACAGCATAAACACACCTGACACACAATACATAGAGGTGCACGGACCCCGATACAGCATAAACACACCTGACACACAATACATATAGGTGCACGGACCCCGATACAGCATAAACACACCTGACACACAACACATATAGGTGCACGGACCCCGATACAGCATAAACCCACCTGATACCCAACACATATAGGTGCATGGACCCCGATACAGCATAAACACACCTGACACACAACACATATAGGTGCATGGACCTCGATACAGCATAAACCCACCTGACACACAATACATATAGGTGCACGGACCCCGATACAGCATAAACACACCTGACACACAATACATATAGATGCACGGACCCCGATACAGCATAAACACACCTGACACACAACACATATAGGTGCATGGACCCCGATACAGCATAAACACACCTGACACACAATACATATAGGTGCACGGACCCCGATACAGCATAAACACACCTGACACACAACACATATAGGTGCACGGACCCCGATACAGCATAAACACACCTGACACACAATACATATAGGTGCACTGACCCAGATACAGCATAAAACACACCTGACACACAATACATATAGGTGCACGGACCCCGATCCAGCATAAACACACCTGACACACAATACATATAGGTGCACGGACCCCGATACAGCATAATTCCACCTGACACACAACACATATAGGTGCACGGACCCTGATACAGCATAAACCCACCTGACACACAATACACATAGGTGCACGGACCCCGATACAGCATAAACACACCTGACACACAATACATAGAGGTACACGGACCCCGATACAGCATAAACCCACCTGACACACAATACATATAGGTGCACGGACCCTGATACAGCATAATTCCACCTGACACACAACACATATAGGTGCATGGACCTCGATACAGCATAAACACACCTGACACACAATACATATAGGTGCACGGACCCTGATACAGCATAAACCCACCTGACACACAATACATATAGGTGCACAGACCCCGATACAGCATAAACACACCTGATACACAATACATATAGGTGCACGGACCCCTATACAGCATAAACACACCTGACACACAACACATATAGGTGCATGGACCTCGATACAGCATAAACACACCTGACACACAACACATATAGGTGCACGGACCCCGATACAGCATAAACACACCTGACACACAATACATATAGGTGCACGGACACCGATACAGCATAATTCCACCTGATCCACAATACATATAGGTGCACGGACCCCGCTACAGTATAAACCCTCCTGGCACACAATAGATATAGGTGCACGGACCCCGATACAGCATAAACACACCTGATACACAATACATATAGATGCATGGACCCCGATACAGCATAAACACACTTGACACACAATACATCTAGGTGCACGGACCCCGATAGAGCATAAACCCACCTGACACATGCACAATACATATAGATGCACGGACCCCGATCCGGCATAAACCCACCTGATACACAATACATATAGGTGCATGGACCCCAATACAGCATAAACCCATCTGACACATGCACAATACATATAGATGCACGGACCCCGATAGAGCATAAACACACCTGACACACAATACATATAGATGCACGGACCCCGATACAGCATAAACCCATTGATACACAATGCATATAGGTGCACGGACCCAGATACAGCATAAACCCACCTGACACACAACACATATAAGTGCAGGGACCCCGATCCAGCATAAACCCACCTGATACACAACACATATAGGTGCACGGACCCCGATACAGTATAAACTTACCTGACACACAATAGATATAGGTGCACGGACTCCGATCCAGCATAAACCCACCTGACACACAACACATATAGGTGCACGGACCCCAATACAGCATAAACCCACGTGACACACAATACACATAGGTGCACGGACCCCGATACAGCATAAACACACCTGATACACAATACATATAGGTGCACGGACCCTGATACAGCATAAACACACCTGATACACAATGCATATAGGTGCACGGACCCCAATACAGCATAAACCCACCTGACACACAATACACATAGGTGCACGGACCCCTATACAGCATTAACACACCTGATACACAATACATATAGGTGCACGGACCCCGATACAGCATAAACACACCTGATACACAATGCATATAGGTGCACGGACCCCGATACAGCATAAACACACCTGACACACAATACATATAGGTGCACGGACCCCGATACAGCATAAACACACCTGATACACAATACATATAGGTGCACGGACCCCGATACAGCATAATTCCACCTGACACACAATACATATAGGTGCACGGACCCTGATACAGCATAAACACACCTGACACACAATACATATAGGTGCACGGACCCCAATACAGCATAAACACACCTGATACACAATACATATAGATGCACGGACCCCGATACAGCATAAACACACCTGATACACAATGCATATAGGTGCACGGACCCCGATACAGCATAAACACACCTGACACACAATACATATAGGTGCACGGACCCCGATACAGCATAAAAACACCCGACACACAATACATATAGGTGCACGGACCCCGATACAGCATAAACACACCTGACACACAATACATATAGGTGCACGGACCCCGATCCAGCATAAACAAACCTGACACACAATACATATAGGTGCACGGACCCTGATCCAACATAAACCCACCTGACACACAACACATATAGGTGCACGGACCCTGATACAGCATAAACCCACCTGACACACAATACATAGAGGTGCACGGACCCCGATACAGCATAAACACACCTGACACACAATACATATAGGTGCATTGACCCCGATACAGCATAATTCCACCTGACACACAACACATATAGGTGCACGGACCCCGATACAGCATAAACCCACCTGACACACATTACACATAGGTGCACGGACCCCGATACAGCATAAACACACCTGACACACAATACATATAGGTGCACGGACCCCGATACAGCATAAACACACCTGACACACAACACATATAGGTGCACGGACCCCGATACAGCATAAACCCACCTGATACCCAACACATATAGGTGCATGGACCCCGATACAGCATAAACACACCTGACACACAACACATATAGGTGCATGGACCTCGATACAGCATAAACCCACCTGACACACAATACATATAGGTGCACGGACCCCGATACAGCATAAACACACCTGACACACAATACATATAGATGCACGGACCCCGATACAGCATAAACACACCTGACACACAACACATATAGGTGCATGGACCCCGATACAGCATAAACACACCTGACACACAATACATATAGGTGCACGGACCCCGATACAGCATAAACACACCTGACACACAACACATATAGGTGCACGGACCCCGATACAGCATAAACACACCTGACACACAATACATATAGGTGCACTGACCCAGATACAGCATAAAACACACCTGACACACAATACATATAGGTGCACGGACCCCGATCCAGCATAAACACACCTGACACACAATACATATAGGTGCACGGACCCCGATACAGCATAATTCCACCTGACACACAACACATATAGGTGCACGGACCCCGATACAGCATAAACCCACCTGACACACAATACACATAGGTGCACGGACCCCGATACAGCATAAACACACCTGACACACAATACATAGAGGTACACGGACCCCGATACAGCATAAACCCACCTGACACACAATACATATAGGTGCACGGACCCTGATACAGCATAATTCCACCTGACACACAACACATATAGG